ACGTGTGGGTAGTTTTCTAAATTAGGGCCCCTTTTGGGGGGTCCTTTTTTAGAAGGGTGCCGTTCTATGTTGGGGACCCAAAAAAGGGACCCTAATCTAGAGAACTACCCAACCGTCGAAAATCCATAAAAGTCCCTAAGCCTAAAGACTTTGAGCCCTGAAATCTAAGCTTTTGAACTCACGTAGTATTAGGGAGCCTTTATCAAGTCCAAGTAGAGCCCTTATAACGTCCCGAACTTTGCCTCTTTGTCTTGCGAAGTTTCCTCCGGTCTTGAAGTAGACTCCTCAGAGAGCCCAATACCCCTTAGTTAATCTACCTTAAATCATAATACTAAGGCCCTTATAATTTCAGGTATAAATACCCTTTAATTGAGGAATATACCTTAAATCATATTGTCAAGGCCCCTATGCCATGTTCCCTAATTAAGGGGCATTGGGATCTCTGAGTCCCTGAAATTGAAGGGTTCTTACCAAAGGGTTTAGGGATTAGGTTCAGGGTTTTAGGGTTTGGGGATTTGGGGTTGGGTTTTAGGGTTTAGGGTTTTAGGGTTTATTTATATGGTTTTGTGCTGAATTTATAGTGGTTTGTGTAGGCAGTTCTCTTTGAGCAGGGGGTAATGAACCTCCCGCACCCCAAACTTCCAGGCCACAAGGCGTTCGATGTAGGGTTTAAGAGGACTAAACCCTCGACCCTAAACCCCAAAACCTTAAACCCCAAACCCCCAAAACCGAAAACCCCACACCCTAAACCCCTAAACCCCTAAACCCCTGAAGCCCCAAACCCCCAAACCCCCAAACCCCCTAAACACGAGGCTCTCCCCGCTGATGCCAAAAGCCCTTTGCCCCGCAAGCTCGAACCCCAAAGTGACCCAGAGGCCCACCAGGCTATGTAAAGGTGAGGGTTTCACCGAATTTCGGGCTATGTAAATGTGAGGATTTCACCGTTTAGGCCCTAAACCCTAAACCCTAAGCCCCTGAACCCTAAACCCTAAGCCACAATTATGGTCTTCTGGAACCCCCGTCTGAACTTGATCCCCAAACAGGGATCCTTATGTTCAGGTGCCCTTTCGAACCCCGGCGAGCGCTTCTTCCGAGGTAGTTCGGGCTACATGGACGGCATGCCGGCATCTGGAAGCCACTTTGCAGAGGCAGGGTAGGAGGTTTTCTTTCGCGTTGGTTTTTGGCTTTTCTTATGTTCTGCGTTTGTTTTCATTCAGTTGTTGTTTTTGTCTTTGTAAAGTACCTACACACCCAGCAAGCCCCAACCTCGAAACCCCATGTCCCAAAGCCCCTGATCATAAGAAGTACGTAGATGGTGAGAAATGCGACGCACAGCTTCTGCTGGAGGGTCTTTGCGCTTTCGTCTGGGTGCGAGTTTTAGTTTAGGGCTTGAGAGGTTTTAGTGGTTCAGGGTCTACGACTTCAGGGGTTGAGGGTTTAGGGGTTTAGCGTAGTCACGTAATCGTTTTCCAGTTCAGGGGTTTGGGATTTGGAGCGTCGTCGTTGTCTTACGTTGTTGCGACTTTGGAAAGTGGCAGTCGTGGTCCCGCAATGTCCCGCATCTTGCCAGGTTCAGATGACATGGGGCACTCATGTAAACAGCACCGTAATTGGATCCTTTTTGGCTACGATTTCACATTTTTTGTTATCATAAAAAGTTTGTTATAATAAAAACCCAATAAGGGTTGAACATGATCATGTTTTTATATAGCCCCAACAGGGAACCAGGTAACAAGTAGGACCGTGTAGGATCCTCATATTACGGATGCCCTAAAACAAGGAGCCCCTCTCTTCCAGGAAGCTTTGAGGAATTCCCGCATCTTGTCCGGGTGGAACGCTACGGTCGGTTTAGGGTTTAGGCTTTAGGGCTTAGGGTTTAGGCTTTAGGGTTGAGGGTTTAGGGAACGCTACCGTCCTCCTTGCCATCGTCATCACCACGGCACGTCTTTGCAAGTATCACTCCCAAAGCCCGAGCCCGAACCCCTGCACTTAAGATCGTGGTTATGGAGCCCTTCTAGCCTACCTACATGCATACATACTTACATGTACATTTTTAGATATGTATTTTATTATTTCGCCGATACAACCCCTTATAGAGCACCCTGACAGGCTTGAAGGTTGTGACCCCAAGAGCCCCTAAAGCCTTACCAGGATCAGGAACCCGAGACCCTCAACCCTAAACCCCTCACTTGCCTTCTGCCACGCAGATTCCCGAGCTAGGAGTTAGCAGATGGAAAAAGGCCCTCAAAAACAAAAAACCCTCAACCCCTAAACCTCCAAACCCCTAAACCCTAAGCCCTAAGCCCCAAGTAAGTCGTAAACGGCAGGCTTGGTGTCGAAAAATGACCTCGTCCAGCGAGAGCGGAGGTGCCTTGGGTGCGACGAAAGTTGAAAGGGTTTAGGGTTTAGGGTTCATTAAGTCACCATCCTGGGAATATACAGCATAATGGGGTACTTATTATGGTAACTATAGTAACTTAGTTGAATTTCCTTAATAGCAACCTGGTTTAGGGCTTACTTCGAGGCTCAAGGCACTCCCGGTAGCAGTAGTCCAGATTTTGGGTTGACGCTTTAGTATAGAGCTTAGGGTCTGGAGGGTTTAGGGTTTAGAGGGTTTAGGGTTTAGGGTCAGGGTTTAGGGCTTAGAGGGTTTAGGGTTTAGGGTCAGGGTTTAGGGTTTAGGATTTGTGGTTATTGTGGCTTGGTGTAGGGAGCTACGAACTTTCGGGGGCCAGATTCGAAATCCTTGTATGTATGTATGTATGTATGTATGTATGTATGTATGTATGTATGTATATATATATATATATACATAGATAGGATAGGTCGGATTAAGGGCCTACCTAGACCCTATGAGCCCCAAATCCTAAGCCAGCAGAACAACCACGGTCCTCGGGGTCTGGTCATTCTGCACCTCAGCGGGGTTGACAAAGAAGGAGCCTCGCCTGGTCCTCCCCTGCAAGCCCTAAACCCAACGAAGCTTAGGGTTTAGGGTTTAGGGTTTAGGGTAAGAATCGCAATCCCTAAGGACCGCAACACCCTCAAGGCAGAAGTCTCAGGCCCTCTAGTATAATGGCCGTGTCGCCAGATCCAAGAGACTAAAGTGCCCCTTGACAAAGCAACCCGACACCCCAGTGAACCAGAAAACTAAGCCACCAAAGAACCACAGCTAATATGTGCACATGAAAGCCCTGAAGACCCCAGCTTCAAGAAACCTAAACCCCACCACGGCTTCAACCCCAAACCCTAACCTTCCGGAGCCGAAGAACCCCTAAACTTCTTGAGAGCCTAAGCCCTAAACCCAAACCCGTACTTTTCCAGAGCTTCAGCTTGCTTTGAGAGCCTAAACCCTAAACCCTAACTTTTCCGGAGGTTCAGCCCACCCTAAACCCTAGACCCTAAACTCCGGCCTAAGCACCGCCGCCTTGTAAGCGGCGGCGGCCACAGCGCCCCTCGTTACCTTTGCCACTCACTTCACTCCCGGGCTACATGCCTACCACGGAACAACACAATTCGCACGTACATGGCACCACAAGTGTGAACCTGTTCTCAGTAAGGACAGTTGACCTGTCCCCGGGCGGACGCCAACAATGCTACATATTAAGATAAATACCCTGACCCCAAAACGCTTGATCCTGGAGCGCGCACGGCGCGCTTTTTAGTTTGTCTGTCCGTTTGGAAAGGCTTCGATGTTGTCGAAAACCACGAGAATTACGAGGGCTTTGCCTGTCAGGGCCACAATCTTCGTGACAGTTGTTCAAATCTTGAGCTTTTTGTGGGTGCTACCGGTGGATCCTGAGCTTTTGATAGCTTCTCCTGAAGGAAATCTCTTTGTTTTTCGACGTCTCCAGCGAAAAACTGGGTTGATTTCTGTTACCAAATTCTGTTTGTAAAAAGGGCCATTTACTTTTTGTGCCGTCGGCCACTGGCGAGCTTCTCCCGAGATCTTGGTGGTGGAAAGCGACAGACGGAGACAAAGCGACGTCTGGAGCTTAGTCTGAAAAGCACGCAGCAGTAAGGCAGCAGGACGGGCAGGGCATGTAATTGTGTCATGATCGACCCCCCTGAATAATCATGTTAATCTGCCATAGTCTGGTTGCTCAATGATTCGCACTCCGCGCCCCGCTTCCCTCCTCAGCATGGGCGGCATATTCGCAAGGGCCCCCACCTGCTATTTTTAAGACTATGAGGAGGGAGCATGGCGGTGGCGTTGGAGGGGTCAGACATGGAGGTGGGCCAATGCGCATTGCAGCTGCGGCTGCATGGAGATGCATGAGAGCTGGTGGCTGGATCCCATATTTGTGCAAAAGGACGAAGAATGTCCGCCTCTCGTCCAAGCATTGTCGCAGCGTTTCTTTCAGCCTGGCCCCGGAAAGGATAAAACGCTGTTCGTGCAACAGTGCACAAACAGTGGTTTCGCCAGGCGCATGAAAGCAACCTCCGGACATTTGTTCTGGATGACCGAAGAGGCCAGGTCCTGGTCTGGGCCGCAAATGAACGGTGCCATGTGGACCTGGAGACGGAGGAGGGAGGTCTGGAGCCAAACTGTGCCTTGATTTGGCGCGACGGCACGCCACCAAGCTGGGAGGAGTGGGAGGACGAGCGGTGGTACGCCCGGCGGGAGTGGGAGAAATGAACGGCAGCAGGTCATGGCAGCGCGCCTGAGCTCCAAGCTCCCTGCAGAGGTCCTGCACATTGTTCAAGCCGCCGTTTGCTAACCTGCCGGGCGAGCTTCCTCCTCATTCCACCAACAAAATATGCACCGAGAGAGGGCCGACAGCCCAACGGAGCTCCAGTGCTGTTTGGTTCTTCCGGCTTATCAAATTCTGCTTATAGAAAAGCGACTTACTCTTGGGCTGTCGGCCGATGTCAGGGTTCCCCCCCATTTGGATGGCTCCGACGGCCGGAAGTCCGCCAAAATGCGGAAACAGACTGCCGTCTCGCAGAAGGGCGGCATGAAACCGAGGAGAAACTGGTTTCTTCGTCAGAAGCACAAAGAACAAGAAGCACAGATCTTGTTTGACCAGGAACTTGCAGAAGCAATGCAACCCGCCCAAGTGAGAGAAGACAACCGGCCTCAAATGCTGTGGCTCCACCATCAAGGCCTGCAGTGCCGCATTGTCCGTCATGAACTGCAAGGTATGCCCTCTTGAGACCTGCGCTACCTCCATGTTACCCACAGAGCACGACCGGCAATCTTCTGCATCGGCGATTTTTTTTGCCGTCGATAAATCCCAGGCGTTTGGACTGGTCTTGCGGTCTTGCTCCACTGCAGGGTGCACAGCATGCAGGACTGCACCTGCCGTCACCTGGCAGCTCATCGGATAGCCGGGGTCTCATAAAACAAACCCACCAGGGTGATTGCAATACTCTGAAATCCTTCGCTGCAACCGCCTGTGGACGGATGCTGCCATCCACTTCAGCAACCTTGGCGGAGCTGTGGCCAAGCGGACATGCAAAGAGGCAATGAGGGCCGTGACGCCGAGATTTCTGCCACAAGTTTGGCTTCTTCGCTTCTGTTTTACATGCCTGTATGCATGCCACTTGCGAATCGTGTAGGTCCGTGTAGGTTGCTTCTCTTTGATAAATTGCTCCCACTTTCAGGACTGTGAGGCACCAGGAGTTCCGGGAGCAGCCCGAGGCGTGTCCTCCACGGCTTCTACGCAGGAGGTACGTGCCTGCCACCCCCCCCCCCCCCCCCCTCGCCCCCCCGCGCTGTTCCCTCATCCCGAGCGCACCTTCCTTTAGCCCGCGGTCACCTGGGCCGAAGGTCAGGAAAACACCACGTGAGGGGGAGCATTGTGAATCCCCACCGGCGGGCCTGGACATCTCTCACCCAGGTCCTCAGCACGAATGCTCTGTGCACATATCAGTGCACGGTGGGAGGCGGTGTTATGCGTACAGGCTTCATCAAATGCTGGTTTCGTTGCGCGCGTTATCCGGCTTGTGAGTTTGCGATCGATCAGTCCTAGAAAATTCGGTTCCTCCGGAATCGCTACTGGAAGTGGAGTTTTTTTCCAAAATGAATGATTTTGGTGCTTTTGTGGGCCTCCCACTCATTTCGGCGGCTCCGATTGCCACAAACCCAGAATCAAGGTTCCCCGGACATGGCTCCTGACAAAAAGGAGCATTAGTGGCAAATTCGACGATTCCACGACTCCTCCAAAATAGCTACAGGAGCTATATAAGGAAGTCACAACGAGGAGCCTTAGAAGGGAGGTTCTTTGGGGTCCAGGTAGGGGTTGCAGGGTTTCAGGTCAACGACCTCGGGGTCTCGGGCTTTGGGTGTGAGAGGTGGGGCTTGGAGTTGTTGGTTCCCATATCAGGGGGTGTAACTGTAACACTAAACCCCAAACCCGAAGCCACCAGGACTTAAACCCTAAATCCCGAAACCCTTAGCTCCTCAGCTGTAGCCCCTAGAAGCCCAAACCAGCCTCCAAGATTCAGCCGCTGACGCCCTAAACCTGGAAGCTAAACGCTAAACAACACATGGGTAGTTGTCTAAATTAGGGTCCCGTTTTAAGCCCCAATACAGCACGGCACATTTATAAAGGGACCCCAAAAAAGGACCTTAATCTATTCAGGCAACGAGTTCTCAGAGGCCCTTAAGCCTTGTAATTCAACGGACCGACCCCTGTGTTCAAGAAGGGGTCCTTGATGAGGAACCCTAAACGCTAACTCTAAACACCAAACCGTAGAGTTTTTACTGTAAATCTTCAGCCCTCAACCCTGAAACCTTAAACTTAAACCCTCAAGCCCGAGCCCGGATAAATGGAGGGACACCGGGCTCTCTGACGTCTCAGGCCTAGCTGAAGATCTGCTTCTTTGGCTTCAGCGTGTGGGTGTGGACCGCTGACAAAAAAGGAAACCACCCAAGAACTTCCCCAACAGTCGAGGTAGAGTTTAGGGCTTAGGGCCTTAGGGCTTAGGGTTTAAAAGGCTTTAGGGTTTCGAGTTTAGGGGTTGCAGTGTTTTAGGTTTTACAGGTTAGGGTTCGTCGAGGTCCCTTAATTGAATTGCCCTCTTGAAGCATCCCTGTCATGGTGTAAAGAGTGCTGTAGTGGTCTGAATTGCTAGCGGTATTCCATATTATCCGCGTGTATTCCTAAAACAACCGTAGCATGATATGCTGCAAAACCCTAAACCCTATCCTAATCATTGGATCATGAAGGCCCTTATACTAAACCCGCCCTGCAATACCCAAAAGAACGGATGTAGTAAACGCCAAGGGTTTCGGGCGTTTCTGGGTAGCTCAGATGCCGGGATCTCGAGGTGGAGGGGGTCGAAGGCTGTGGGGTTTGAGGGTTTACGGTGTTTTAGGGCTTTTAGGGCTAACCCAAACCCCTAAACCCTAGACCCTAAACCCTAAACCCTAAACCTAGGCTTGGGTTCGATCCTAGCACCTTTCAGGAGCTACAACGGACCCGAGCCTCACCCCCCCAAGCCCGTCGTCTTAAACTTTGTGCCCGGAGTCCTCTGCGCCCTGGCGCTTCGAGATTTTGGTTGGGGGTTTAGGGTTGTAGGGTTAAGGGTTTGGGTTTTAGGGGCTTAGGAGCTTAGGGTTTAGGGTTGCAGTGTTTAGGCTTTGGGATTTGGGATTTAGAGCTTAGGGTTTTGGGTTTAGGGGCCTCTGTGTGTGTGTGTGTGTTGAATTCGGCTGACTGCCTTTGAATCAAGCGGGGCTTTCAACAGTCTGGCATCGCTGCGTCGATAGCATTGCACAAATACGTAGATGGGTAGATAGATAGGCAGACAGACAAGCAGAAAGGCAGACAGACAGATAGACAGACAGACAGACAGATTTGAAACGTCACTACCACCCTAAACCCTAAGCCCTAAACTTAAACTCTGAATTGCTCAAGCTTTAAGCTTCAGCGCCGAAGAACTTCCATCCCGAAGCGCAGAAAGAGGCCTACTACCCGCTTCTGAGCCATGGCGACTGCGGAGGAGTTTGGAGCCTTTTTTGGATATGCCGGGATCCTCGCCTGCCACAAGAACAGAGCCCTAGACTCTAAGCCCTAAGCCCCAAACCCCAGACCCTAAACCCCTAAACCCCAAACCCTCAACCCTAAATCCCTAAACCCCTAAACCCTAAACCCTCAACCCCTAAACCCTGAACCCTGAAGACGACGCAAGCCTTCCTCAGCTCAGTTCCACGCACCCGGCACTCCGCTTAGTAGCTGAATGACTACCCTTTTGATATATAACCCCTTGTAGAACTGAACGTGTACACGTTTTTGTGCTTATGAACTCAGCAGCTAAGCCCAGATTCGGCCCTACTCTCGGTTTCGAACCTTCCAAGCACAACCGATCGGGGAAGGCTGGGCAGGCTGCCCTGAGCCCTATTGCATTTAGTTATTTTTTGGGTTTATGGGTTTATGGGGTAAGTTGTTTAGGGTTTGGGGTTTAATTAAGGGTTTAGGGGCTTGGGCCTTAGATAGGAACCTGACTTGGAAACCCTGCGTCCTTATCAGGGTTCCTTATTATATGGACCCTACTCTTTTGGGGCCTCAGCCCGTAGCTGGCATGAGCCCTGAAGTTCCCAGAGAACCCAATACCCCTTAAGTTAAGGAATATATACCTTAAAGTATAGGGAGCCTTAATTTTAAGATTTAAGGTATAGATTCCTTAATTAAGGGATATTTGGGTTCTCTGGATTAGCCTCTGGGAGTCAATCAGATCTCGGGTTTTCTGGGAGGTTGGGTTTCAGGGACGTTTTTGGGTTTAGGGTTTAGGGTTTAGGTTTTTGGATTCAGGGTTTGGGGAAGTATCGGATTTAGGAAAAAGTTTCGGGACTGGGGAAGTTTGGGGCCATTTAAGGTGCCTGCAAGTTTGGGTTTCTCAGCCCACCGAGCGCTCCAAAAAGTTGAGGAAGGTTCTACCTACGTACACCAAACCACTCAACCCAGGGTTTAGGGTTTAGGGCCTAGGGTTTAGGTTTAGGACGTACACCAGCGACCGCATGTTCTGCAAATCTGTTTGAATATCCTGAATAATTTCGGCTGCGAATAATTTCACAGTGGCTCAGTGACTTGAGCCTCGAAGGCGTGCAACCCAAGACACACGCCCACGCAGACAGCAGTCGCAGGTGTGGTGAGATTCGGGGAACCCCTAAACCCGAAACCACCCTGAAGCAAGGGCTTGCTGGTAGAACTCTAGATCCTTGGCCTCAAGCTGCAAAGCTAAATGCCCCTGAAGGTTCGAACCTGAGCTCAAAATCCCACGCCCTACAACCCTCCAAAGAGTACCTTAAGCCCTAAACCCTCAACCCTAAACCTTAAACCATAATATGCCATAAACCTGTTAGGATGGTGATGACCTTCGTGTGACCCGGCAGCTTGTGTTCCTGCGACGGCCTGTAACTTAGCACTGGGTCCTGGTACGAGCGCCAATACTCTTGTGTGTCAGAATAGTATGGGCGGGGGGGCCTCTAAATAATCAGCAGTATTATCACTTTGCATGTCTTTCAGAGTCTTACTGCAATATAACCCCCTCAAAAAAACTTATTCCAATTCGTGATGCCACCACATTGCAGAACAAGATCCAGAAACCCACAGGCAAGTCCCGAGATATGCAGGAGACAGCATACACCGCGCCATCACCTTCTCCAAACCCAAAGATATGCTCGTACACTTAAGCCAGGGGGCATAGGAGGATGAGTAGTGAGTAGTAGCCAAAAGCCCTAAACCCTAAACTTATGCCCCAAACCCTAAAACCTC